CATGTGATTTTCAGACTGAAGACGCTGTTTCCGTCTCGCTATCCTTTTCCTGAAGAGTTCTGTACTATTTGATGTACACCACGTTCAAACAGCAGTTTTTGGCACCTCGTGCTCCTTTGAAATGTTCGTTGACTTGGGAAACTAAAAGCAGTGTGAAGGGGCCAGTTCAGGGCTGGAGGAAAATGAGATATGCCCAAGGAGATTCTCGTAGGACAGAGAGCAATGCTGCCCTGGAAGAATGAGCAGGTGCATTGTCATGATGGGGAAAAAATTCCTCTGTGCAACTTCCGGTCCTTTTTCTCACCAATGTAGATTTCCATTTTCAGATACCGTCACAATAAGCCTCCATGGTTGTTCTGTATCCTTGGAGAAAATCCACCAAGACGACCCCTTTGGGAGCCTAACAAACCAACCCCCAACCCTAGTCACCTGACCTCTCTGCCTTGAACTAGCCCAGCAGATCCCCTTTGGAAGTCACTGGTTTGACTGGGTTTTTTTTTTTTTTGAAGGCACGCTAACGAGATAACTTGTCTGCGGTCATCTACTAAGTGCAGAAGCATGTTGAGAAAGGTTTTGTTTGTAATAAACCCCTGCATGTATCACCTGGACCCTTGGTAGCAATACTTTCGAACTGACCTGTCTATAAAGGAAATGCTAGTTAGCTACCTCCGTCCAAGCGGTGTGCCTTGTCCACACAGAGTACAGTTAGGGAGTGTCTGTTGAATGAGTAAAGGGTCTGAAAATTCTGTGTCTGCAGAGATTCATTTCTTCTTGTTGTTAAAGTGCCATTGAGTCAGTTTTGACTCACAGCAGCCCTGCATAGGGTTTCTGCGGAGCTGCTGGTGAGTTTGAACTGCTGACCTTCTGACCTCGTGTCTTCCAGTCCTGTGTTTATCCCACGGTAGTATTGTGTTGTTAAGTGCCGTCAAGTCAATTCTGACCTATAGCGACCCTTTTCAGGGTTTCCAAGGAGCGGCTGGTGAGCTTGAACCGCTGACCTTGCAGTGCAGACAGCTTTGCAGTCTGACGTTAGATACTCAGAAATTAATAATGACTTTTTAAGAAATGAGGAGTTGTATGTGGTTCTCATATGTGATCCATGTGAGACGTAAAACGTAACTAAAAGTTAAAAATATTAATTTTTAGACAGTGATAAAAGTCATTTATATACCTGGATTTTCAAATATTAATTAGAGTCATATCGTCCATTGGAAGGAGCTCTGGTAGCATAGTGGTTACGAATCGGGCTGCTAACCTCAAGGTCAGCAGTTCGAAACTACCAGCTGTTCCATGGGAGAAAGATGAGGCTTTCTGCTCCTGTAAAGATTTACAGCCTCAGAAACCCTGTACAGGGTCACTATGAGTCAGAATCAACTCCATGGCACCTAACCAATCAGACCATTGGAAAGTGATAGTCACAGTATGAAACGTCTGATGTTTCTGGTTAGGAGTATGGAAGTAAAACCCTATATTTAAAAGCCAACATGAAAAAATAAAATAAAAGCCAACATGACTTTTTGAGTTATCGTGGGAAACAAAAGATAAATGCATTTCTTGAGACTGTTTTAGCAAAATGAGAGTAATTAAAAAAATGTTTTTTCCAAAAAGAAATTTCTTTTACTGGGAAAACAACTTGAGCAAGAGCATACAGTTCATTGTTAAGTATCATCCAGTTGGTTCTGACTCATAATGACCCTGTATAGGGTTTCCAAGGAGCAGCTGGTGGGTTTGAACTGCTGACCTTATGGTTTGCAGTCCAGTGCTGATCCACAGTGTCACACCAGGAGTCTATTAACTATGAGGGGATATAGAAAGTTCATGGAAAAATGGAGTGATGAGATAATGGATTTTCCCCTAAAACCTTGTAAAGGCCCCTCCTAAAGACTGTACTGAAGCCCTGGTGTGGTGCTGTGGGTTAATGTGTCAGACTGCAAAGCTGTTTGAACTGCAAGGTCAATGGTTCAAGCTCACCAGGTGCTCCTCGGAAACCCTATACAGGGTCGCTATGGATTGGAATCGACTCTCCGGCACTTCACAACAACAACAAAGATTATACTAACTGAGATATTTTTAAATTCTGTAACTTGGGGTCCGTTTCAGATTTGTGTGGAGCTATAGGATCAGCATTGGACTGTTAACTGCAAGGTCAGGTGTTCAAACCCACCAGTTGCTCCTTGGAAAGCCATTACAGGGTTGCTATGAATTGAAATCATCTTGACAGCCCTTAACAGCAGCAATGAAAAGTCTCAGGATGGTCTCCTGGCCTTCCCTGAGACAGGTCACTTGTGTGCTCATCCGCACACAGCCCCATGTGTGGTGGCAGTAATCCGTGGTGGGGAGCATCCTTAGAGACCCCTCAGTGGCTCCTCTGCAGACGGCCTTCTCAGTTCATTCTCTTCCACAGGCAAACATGCTGAAGACATATTTGGGGAGTTGTTTAATGAGGCCAACAGCTTCTACATCAGAGCAAATTCCCTTCAAGACCGAATTGATCGCCTTGCTGTCAAAGTTACCCAGCTGGACTCCACGGTGGAAGAGGGTAGGTAACTGCGTGAGAGCAAAGACTTGATGCTGACAAGTCTTTAGTCATTAATTGCCATGTAATTGCTGGGTTGTCCCTTGAGGTAGGATCCTGATGTTTCATCCTGTCTTTTCTCAGAAGACAAGTGTGAGGGGAAAGACCCCCAGCATTAGGTTCATTAGAAAGATCCCGAGCTTCCTTGCTTGCCTGCCCTTCAGCTGTACTCTCTTTGATTTGTTTGAAAGCGCTCTTCAAATGCATTCCAGCTGGAAGTGTTCATGTAGATCACGGGTGGTAGTTTTCCAGATCGTTTTTGTCTAAAGATTTCAGACTCACTTCACAGGTATGGTCTAACTCCGAAGTCCAGCTGTCATTCTCTAATTCTGCTTTGGTGTGAAGATTCTATTTCACTACTTCTGTTGTAGCTCTAACGGAAACCAAGCCCACTGTCCTGAGTCCAGGCCACTCAAAGCGCCCCTGTAGGATGGAGGGGCACTGCCCTGGGGGTTTCAGAGATTGTTGATTCTATCAGGAGCACAGGAGCAGGCAGCCTCATCTTTCTCCCTCAGAGAAGCTGGTGGCTTCACACCACCAATCTTGTCATTAGCAGCCCAGGGCTTATTAACCCGTCTCTGCTCTGGAACTCATCTTGGTGGGTCTGCTGATTTGCATATTGAATTAAGCTTGGCAGAAATGGCCCTTTCTGAGGGCCTTGAAGCCTTATGGCTTACAAATAATGTTGATACAAAAAAAGAATCCCTAGTGGCCTAATGGTTCAACAGTTGGCTGCTAAGCAGAGGGTCAGCAGTTTGAACCCACCTGCTGCTCTGTGGGAGAGCGATGTAGCCGTGTGCTTCTGTAAACATAGCTCAGCTCAGCAGAACCTCTGTCCTGAAGGCTGAGAGTGGGTAGGAGTCAACTTGGTAACAGTTGGTTTTTAGTTTTGTCTTTATTTTTTAAATACAAACATTGTGTTAACTAGTAGTCATTTTATAGCTACGTGCCGAAATTGTAGCTCTTTATTGAAGCTAAAACAATGAACAGTTCCACTTTAAGTTTTTAATTTGGGGTGTCTTTTGAATGAAAGACAGATTAAAGAAAAAAAGTTAAAAAAGAATAAGCTATACACATTTAAAGAAAACTATTCTGATTATAAATAATGTTACCTCTATGTCAAGGTAGGCGCAGTGTCTCTTGTTGCATGACGTAGACCCTAACCCTGACTTGCCCACTACACTCATGCAATAGTAT